TAGGCCAGGACAAGCAACAGGGAATGGAGGGTTCATACCTGCATGACGGCCCTGTGCTCATAGGCCGCCACACATGCTCCGGTCTCGAAGTAGGCGCTCTCCGGCAGGCGCATGTGATTCAGGCGCGTGCGGTCGCGAATGAGAGACAGGCGCCTGCCCATACACATCAGTTCAGCGGTGGCAAAAGGGCAGAAACATGTCAGTAATAGGACAGAACTTATGGTTTGAGTAAATGTGACGAAGAGCAACGAATCCAATCCCCAAAACACTGACCTGTCCATCTGCTTCACACGCCGCTTCTTCATCTTGCGCACGACAGCCACAATGTGGCTCATGATGCCCAGGTCCGCCTGGTGCATGATGTCAGGCATCACCACGAGGTAGGGATTGCCCCACGCGGTCCCTGGGACATCCCACTTCCAGAGCACGCACTGGAAATGGGGATGTGGTGGGGAATGGAGGAGAGATGTACGTGAGAGTGGATAGCTAACCTAAACCACAAGTGGGGTGAGTTCAATGGGGCAGAGCACATCTGGCAATTCATGACGGGGCGGGCGAGAGCATAGACTACTCATGGGCCGGGGAAACAGGTCACTCACCTCAACAGGGTAGGTAGAGTAGGCCTTGCACGGGTCAGCCTGGCTAGTTGTCGTCCCAGCCGCCTCGTTAACGATCCATTGCTGCTGTTCAGGCGTGCGCGGCGTGTTCCGTGCCTTGACAGCACTCATATTCTCCTGTTGTAGCACGGGGGTGAGGGATGGGATAGAAAAGGTAAGGGTGGTAGCTATGTGGGTTCTATCAGGCGACCCACAAACGAGAATGTATTTGAATGCGTGCAGATGGCATGTGACCTCACCTTTGCAGCATAGCAGATGCTGCACGGCATCCGCGATCCATGCGAGAGTGTGCAACTGATCTTGCCGCTCTCGGGGTAGTCGCACACCCAGGCGTACAGCAGGGGCCGCACGGTTTGCCAATCACCGAAAGGGTCCCCGAGACGGAACCCGCTGCAAGGAACAGGTAGAAGGGCAACAGGAATTCGGGTTACGGCTTTTAGGGAGGAACGACGAGGGGCAAAGGGCCATGCTACATACAGAGAGGGTTTGCATACCATGCAGGTGGTGAGATGATGTCTTAGCAAGATGCAAACCGAGTACAGACCTGGCGATGCCATCAAGAAGCGGCTGCAGCACGGTGATGACGCAACGCTGGAAGAGCATCACCTTCTCCACGGCAGACATTGCAGACGGGGGGATAGGAAGGAGGGCAAGTAGTGTGTGCCCGGCTTTCCCCCATCGCTTGGCCTGGGAGATGTTGGCCAGCGTCATCATGAGCGGCCACGCCTTCTTCCGGCCGTTGATGCTCATGTGCGTCACATCCGAATATAAGATGATCCCCCCCACAACTTCGGACCAACCGAAGTGTTCCTGCAGTGCACGACAAAGCGGCATCGGACACACGGTTTAGGGCTCAAGATGCTCTTGACAGATCAGCGCAGCGATGGAGGCATGAGGAAGGATTGGGTTTGGGGTGGCAACGTGGTCTTTCCTTACCTGAGCATCGTTCCACCACGTTCCTGTTTCAGGCGTGGTATAGCGACGGCCGCCTGCGTCAGGGTCCTCATCAACACGCGCCTTGAGCTTGAAGCCGGGCGCGTTGTTGGGATGTCCAAACATTTCAGCGAATGCCTGGTGTACGGTGGCGAAGGCAGGTGAGAGGAGAGGCATGGTTAGTGGCGGTGAAGGTGGGTGTACGGTTAATACAAGGATAACTACGTACATGCAAACCCTGTGTGCCTCATCATCATTTCATGGCCTTGAATGCAAAGTCGGCTTACCTGGGCTGAGTTTTGAAAGAGCAAGCGCTGTGGTGGATGACCGTCAATCTCGAAGGTCGCCACCGACCATCCGCGATTGAGCCCTGCCAAACGCTCCATCTCGAACCGCTCCAGATCCTTACAGTTCCGGAGCTCCGAGATCACAAGAGGCGCAAGGCCGGGCTCTACGACTAGCTGAAGCAGGCCGTTGATGTCAACCTCGGCCATTCCCATTCCGCCATTCACGCGCCGAACGAAATGCAGCACCTTCAACGCGAGCGGATTGAGGGGCGTGGCATTGCTCTGTCCGGAGATGATTGTTGGCGGCGCGGCATGACTCCCTTCGGGCCGGCTCTCAGGATGGTCACTCGTGTCAGCCGCAGGAGCTCCTGGTTGTGGTTGATGTTCATCTTCAGGAGGCCCCTCGTTCACGTCGTTGGGAGTTTCGTCAACGTGAGCTTCAGGCACGCGTGGAGGACCGCTCACACTGACGGCGTTGGATGCGTTAGACGCTGTAGGTGAACCGGGAGCGGCTGGAGCGTCCGACAGAATGTCGTGGACGAATAGCAGAGCGTGAAGACCGGCGGTCGGTGCAGATCGCGTCGGCCTTGCCACGGCGGATAGTCCTTGGCAAGGGGTCCGCCGTGACTTATGACCGCCATAAACTTGGGCGTTGGGGAACCATCTGTTGCAGAACTCGCAGACGACGCCTGGTAATGAGCCCATGTGTTACGGATCCGTTGTAGAGTCGAGAAATCGCCTATGAAGCTACTAGCCGTGATGAAGCTTGTGAACGCATTAAGTACTCCGTTCAAGAAGCCTGTGACAGCTACACGATCATCGCCAATGCGCGCACTGTGGTGGGCGGCTTGTATCACTGCACGACTGGCACTTGACATTGGCGCTAATGTTTATGACTGGCTAACGATGTCGAGCCGCGTGGTCGTTACCAGGCACGATACAGACCGCCCACCTCACGGGCCGTCTTCCCTACAAGGCGTGTCGCCCCCGTTTAGAGTGACCACGACGTGAGCAGAGGAGAATGCGGAGGATCTTAAGTCTCACGGTCGTGTGTGTGCGTCGCGAGCACGGTGAGAAGGACGTGCCTATTGAGTCAAGAACTTGTGTTTAGGAACCGTGCGTGAGAGTCGAGGGGGATGAGGAAGAGCGGGAAGATATCCGTTTGGATCTGTGATTGTGTCGCGAATCGATATAGGGGGGAAATCAGAATCACGTAGGTGAGCCCAAGAGGCTTCAAACAAACATGGAAATGCAAAAGTACAATTACAACTTAACAAGACACTCAAGTCATTCATAACTAGTAAACATTCATATCCTTAGGACTGATGTTGAACAACCCTTACTTGATAACGATACGGGAAGTACCCAATAACTCCATGCCCTAACGTATGATTGTTGCGTGGAGCGAATACCTATAGCGTGTCTTCTCTCGAGGTGTAGTGTACCTCTACGCACCGTGCTGAATGAATATGCAAGAATGGATGACAATGTCGTACAATAACACAACGGTTTCAATGTCCATGCAATGTTGGATGACAATGCAACACCATACCACAACGGATTCACCATGTCGCGCAACCCGCAGGCCTGAACGCTGCATCGTCGCACAGTCTAACCATGGCTGTCGATAACGCATCTACGCTTGTGCGTTGGGCCTGTGCTTCATACAACTCCTTCTAAGCACCTTGTTTAATGTCTGTGCAAGAATGGATGCCAATGCAACACCATACCACAACGGATTCACCATGTCGCGCAACCCGCAGGCCTGAACGCTGCATCGTCGCACAGTCTAACCATGGCTGTCGATAACGCATCTACGCTTGTGCGTTGGGCCTGTGCTTCATACAACTCCTTCTAAGCACCTTGTTTAATGTCTGTGCAAGAATGGATGCCAATGCAACACCATACCACAACGGATTCACCATGTCGCGCAACCCGCAGGCCTGAACGCTGCATCGTCGCACAGTCTAACCATGGCTGTCGATAACGCATCTACGCTTGTGCGTTGGGCCTGTGCTTCATACCACTCCTTCTAAGCACCTTGTTTGACGTCTGTGCAAGAATGGATGACAATCCAACACCATACCACAACGGATTCACGTTTGTTACTATTGATAATCGTGTTAGAATGTCGTCCACTGGCCCTAAACCATTGTGGCAAAGCCTAAAAGTGCACAGTACATCTGTCACAAGTAATAATTCTGGACGGTCGTTGTGTGTGTGACGTAAGAATCACCGATTAACTTACCCCAACCCCGTGGTAAACCATTTGCAACTTTGAGTTTGATGAAATGCATTGTTGTATGTTTGAATAAAATTTAGTGATTTATGCGTTGGCAACCGTGATTGGCCGACGCATCTCAAACGATTCCCCCCACAACACAGTCATCAGCCAAGAGGTACTTCAGCCATTGAGCGGCTGAGATCGAGCGGTAGGTGGGTTTATGCTAGGGTGGCTACACGTACACCGTCCAATATAGCCTGATAGGGTTACATTACTCTCTCTAGTCTCGCAACCCACCCCAACCACCCTCGTGTCCCACCCACCTGCTTCCGTCACTCCCTGGACCAACACTTTGACGCTGCTCGTTGCCTTGACACACGCCTCTCCAGATCGGCCTTAGCGCGAAGCATAGTGGCTACTATGACAGATTTAGTTGAAGCGGCGGTTTTCGGAAACACATAACAGTGATAGACCGTAGATAATCCCATCGTGGGATTCAGTTGCAGAACCCTTTCGAAACCGGCTCAACCCTTCCGCGCGATTTGCAACTTTGCTCCTCCTACAATTACCATGACACGTGCAACACGTAACCAAGCAATGGAGGAGGAACAGGCCGGCCGCCGCGCGACAAGGAGGACATCTAAACAAATCGATAGGGAGTGTGGTGGCGGCGCTAAAAAAACTAATGCGTCCGTCGCTCGTGGCATTGGGCAGAAAAAAGCGGCGGCAAAAAAGGTCGCGCGCGGTCAACAGGAGGCCGGCAAGAAAGCGGAAGACAAGGGGCCTAAACCAACGCCACGCAAGCGTGTTTCTACAGTGAACAAAGATGCGGATGTTGCCTCTGCTGGAACCGAGCCCGATCCGAGAAAAGACGGCACCACTGGCGGCAACGAAGATCCGGGGCGAGGGAGCGCGAGTCTTTCACTCCCGTCGGCGGAGATGGAGGGATCGGCGACGGAGGGAAATCACGGAGGCGATCCCCGCGCCGAGCATGCCGCAACCAAGGAGTCCGAGGCGGCGGCAACGCAACACCATCTGACGCTGCTCCAGCCGACCGTGGTCGAAGTTTCTGCAGCCGTGCTGGATAAGGACAAGGTGGGGGAGCACGAGTCGGTGGGGCTGGTCGGTGGCTCTCCACCTTCTGGTGGACGGGGGAGGCGTAGGCAGAGGAAGAGCGATGGGGAGGAGGATTATGACACCGCCGTGCCCGGGGACCTCATTACGCGGGCGAAGAGGCGGCAGACGACAGGTAGTGCTGACGACGCCGGAGGCGCGGCAGTTGGGACACCGCGAGGCGCCAAGGAAGCTAGTGGCAAGGCGGGCGGTCAAGCATTGCGCCAGAAGGGCCGACCCGCAGCAAGAAAAGCAACCGGCGGAAGGAGAGGCAAGAAAGCAGCGACGGGAACAAAGCCGAAACGGGGCGATGAAGACCCCGGTGATGCGGAGGAGGAGGAGGATGAGGAGGAGGATGCGGAGGGAGAGGAGGATGAAGAGGAAGCGGAGGAGGATGACGCGGATGTTGGGGAGGATGAAAAAGATGAGAATGATGGCGGGGAGGACGAAGAGGAGGAGGAGGAGGAGGAGGAGGAGGAGGAGGAGGAGGAGGAGGAGGAGGAGGAGGAGGAGGAGGAGGAGGCAGAGGAGGAGGAGGAGGAGGAGGAGGAGGAGGAGGAGGAGGATGAGGAGGAGGAGGAGGAGGAGGAGGAGGAGGAGGAGGAGGAGGAGGAGGAGGCAGAGGAGGAGGAGGAGGAGGAGGAGGAGGAGGAGGAGGAGGAGGAGGAGGAGGAGGAGGAGGAGCAGGGTGACGACGAGGAGGAGGATGTGGAGGAGGAGGAGGAGGAGGCAGCGGAGGAGGAGGAGGAGGAGGAGGAGGAGGAGGAGGAGGAGGAGGAGGAGGAGGAGGAGGAGGAGGAGGAGGAGGATGTGGCGCCAGTGAAGGGACGGGGCGGGCGTGGCAGACGGGTGAGGGGTACAGGGAAGGAGGGGGGCCGGACTCGCCCTTCCCGAAAACGCGGGGCAGTTGACGCTGCGTGCGGCGAAGCATCGGGCAAACCGAAGGCGCGTAAGGTGAAGGTCGAAAGTGAAGGGGTTGGTAAAAAGCAAGGGAGCCAAGGAGCAAAAGGGGATGGAGGAAAAAAGGGTGGCCGCGCCAAAGGGGTTCCAGTGGGTACCAGCAAGAAAGAACCTGCCGGTAAACGTCGCAGCGTCCGCCAAAGCACCCCGCGGAAAGGTGGCAACGAGAAGGCGCAGGCTGCCCCAAAACCGAAGGGACAGCAGAAAGGTGAGCATTGTGTCCAATAAAACTGGCGTGACGTGTTGAACCATCTGCTAAACCGTGCCAAAAAACACCCTTTTTTCACATTGTTTCTCCCATGCAGGGAAGGAGAAGGTCGACGAATCTGCCAAGCAAGGTAAACCCTCTTGTCTCAAACCAGTACAACCCTGAACCCGATCTAAATTCAAACCTTCTGAATATGCATGCATGTCTGGCCCCGCCTTGAAACCGATCGACTCTAATTTTTTCTTCCGGCTCCCTCTACATCTCAGCCCCTCGCGTTACAGGCATTGGGCCGCCCGTAAGCGTGCAACGAATGCATCTAACGAAGGCTGCCGGAAGAGCGAGTGTTACACCGCTCTCCTCCGGAGCACCAAGGTACTACACGCCATGGGCCGGCCCGAGCAAAGTCGCTGCGACGGCACCAGGCGCGCCAAGAGGAGAGGAATCCGAATCCCCTCCACCCGCCCCCGTCACGCAGTCCCCACTCGCCTCACCCTCGTACCAATTTCGGCAACTCCACGCTTCTCCTGTCCGGGGCAGGGCGGTCTCCCCTCTCGCCGATCCTTCGCGCGGGCATCAGGCAGGCAGTTATGCCAATCCCTTCCCTGAGCTCCCCTTTTCCCGCCAGCGTGATAGTGTGAGGTCACACGGGACTGCTGCAGAAGACGTTGATCCCCTTGGCCAGAGGGGGGATTCTTCACACCCTTTTCCTCCGCTCGTGGGTGCCCTAGGTGAAAGTGCGGAGCACGAGCAGATTGTTATACGGGAGGAGTTCCAGGCGCTGCGGTCTGAGATGTACGCCATGTTTGCACAGCTCGGCCTGCGTCGTGGAGTACCTGCCAGCTATGCCGGCGGGTCGGCAGCCCTGCCTATGGCTGGTACCCCGCCGCCGATGAGCGCCGTGGACAAGGCACGAGTGCTAGTGTTGCAGGAGACAAACCCATTCCCGGTATGTGGCGGGCCACATGGGGAGGGTTGGGGTTGACGTGGCAACAAGGGCGGGGTTGGGGCTGACGTGGCGGTTTCGAAGGGAACACGGGAGCGGCGCGTGACGAGGCGACGCGTATCACGTGGGTGGGGGGTGACGTGGCATGGGGTGGGTGGGTGTGACGTGGCAAGTGGCGCGGGTTGTTGGTGGACGTGGCGGATGCGGGTTGGGTGTGACGTGGCAAAAGGTGAGGGTTGGGATATGACGTGGCGGTGTGAAAGGGTGCAAGGGAGTGCCGCATGACGGCGCGAGGCGTTTCAGGTGGGTGGGGGGTGACGTGGCTCTTGGTGGGGGGTGTGACGTGGCAAGTAGGGCGGGTTGTTGGCGGATGCAAAAGGGTGTGACGTGGCAGAATGTGAGGGTTGGGGCTGACGTGGCGGTTTGGAATGGTACACGGGAGCGGCGCGTGACGAGGCGACGCGTCTCAGGTGGGTGGGGGGTGACGTGGCATGGGGTGGGAGGGTGTGACGTGGCACGTGGGGCTGGTTGTTGGTGGACGTGGTGGATGCAGGAGGGTGTGACGTGGCACGTGGGGCTGGTTGGTGGACGTGGCGGATGCAGGAGGGTGTGACGTGGCGGAAGGTGAGGGTGGGGGATGACGTGACAGATGCAGGTGGGTGTGACGTGGCGGAAGGTGAGGGTTGGGGATGACGTGGCACCCTAAAAGGGTACACGTGAGCGGTGCATGACGAAGCGAGGCGTCTCAGGTGGGTGGGGGGTGACGTGGCTCTTGGTGGGGGGTGTGACGTGGCAAGTAGGGCGGGTTGTTGGCGGATGCAAAAGGGTGTGACGTGGCAGAATGTGAGGGTTGGGGCTGACGTGGCGGTTTGGAATGGTACACGGGAGCGGCGCGTGACGAGGCGACGCGTGTCAGGTGGGTGGGGGGTGACGTGGCATGGGGTGGGAGGGTGTGACGTGGCACGTGGGCTGGTTGTTGGTGGACGTGGCGGATGCAGGAGGGTGTGACGTGGCACGTGGGGCTGGTTGGTGGACGTGGCGGACAAGGAGGGTGTGACGTGGCACGTGGGGCTGGTTGGTGGACGTGGCGGATGCAGGAGGGTGTGACGTGGCGGAAGGTGAGGGTGGGGGATGACGTGACAGATGCAGGTGGGTGTGACGTGGCGGAAGGTGAGGGTTGGGGATGACGTGGCACCCTAAAAGGGTACACGTGAGCGGCGCATGACGAAGCGAGGCGTCTCAGGTGGGTGGGGGGTGACGTGGCTCTTGGTGGGGGGTGTGACGTGGCAAGTAGGGCGGGTTGTTGGCGGATGCAAAAGGGTGTGACGTGGCAGAATGTGAGGGTTGGGGCTGACGTGGCGGTTTGGAATGGTACACGGGAGCGGCGCGTGACGAGGCAACGCGTGTCAGGTGGGTGGGGGGTGACGTGGCATGGGGTGGGAGGGTGTGACGTGGCACGTGGGGCTGGTTGTTGGTGGACGTGGCGGATGCAGGAGGGTGTGACGTGGCACGTGGGGCTGGTTGGTGGACGTGGCGGACAAGGAGGGTGTGACGTGGCGGAAGGTGAGGGTTGGGGATGACGTGGCGGATGCAGGTGGGTGTGACGTGGCGGAAGGTGAGGGTTGGGGATGACGTGGCGGTTAGAAATGGTACACGTGACCACTGCGCATGACGAAGCGAGGCGTGTCAGGTGGGTGGGGGGTGACGTGGCTTGTGGTAGGGGGGTGTGACGTGGCAAGTGGGCCGGGTTGTTGGTGGACGTGTCGGATGGCGCAGGGTGTGACGTGGCAAGTTCAAACAGTGTTGCTTGTCACCATCCCATGGTCACGCGGCCACCCTCATAACTGCTGGTTTCTCTCTTCCATGTCGTGTTGTATACCTTACACCCCTGCGCAGAACAAAGCCTACTTAGTGTGCTCTCAGCTCATGTTTCTGAACCCGCCGGAGAAAATACAGTACTACCCTGCACCGGAGGAAGTGTTCGAAGCGTTCTCTGTCCACTTGTCTGCAGAAGGGCTCGAGGCAATGAAGCTGCTGTGGTTGCACAATGACAAGTCAACCATGGGAGTCTTCAACCACCAGCTGTCCTCAACAAGGTCAACTATCAACTCCACCCTCAGGCCAGCAGCATACACCGGCATGGGCCTTGCCGATTACAGCCATCTCGTGGATAGCCTGCCCACTGAGCTACACCCAACGACCTGGTTCGACGACGATCAACTCCTAGCCGAGTACAGAGATGGTATGTGCAGTGCAACTCGAAAACACAATATGCCCTACCATATGCCCCTTGGCAGCTACATATCACCGTGCGATGTGGCTCACCCTGACTCTCATCCCCCCATTTGATTTCTCTACAAAACCCTTTCCAACCCATACCCTCCCTGCCAAAAAGCAGAACAGTGGGCCCTCAACTGGCACTTTGACAAGGCCACCGGGACACCCTTCAGCAACCCCTTGTTCGCTTATGCGTTCAAGCTCTCCTTCAAGAGGGGCGGGGCGGTGTTCACCAAGTTCAAGAGCCGCATGGTGGCATGGGGCCTGTTTTCGGTAAGGATGTAGATATGTGTTTGTACCCCCATGCCTCATCCCCTTAACCCCTTGCCTGTACTTCAGCTAAAACCCTGGTCGATTAGGCCTTTGCAGTTACGTAGATAGTGACGACTGCATCACCGCTTTCAGTTGCCTCATTTACCCGTAACCTACCCTCCTCATAAACCATCCACCCAACCCTACACCACATTGCAGATCGAATGGCCCCTTCTGCAGGATAAGCGTCGCAAGCGAATCAGTAGCCAGCCGGAGCAGAACAGGCCAGACTACCAGGAGTGGTGCGAAAAGGTCAAACAGATGATCCATTTTGCTGTCGTGGAGCGGAGGATCCCCCACCATCCGGCTATGGGTGCGTTCGTCTTTCCGAACAAGTTCCTCATCGACGACGGCGACCTTGGAGATGTCGTCCCTGCCCACCGGGCGCTTTCAAGGCCCGCCAGTGCGTAGGCTATTTGACCTGGTGCTAAGACTGCTTGTTGCTAGAATGCTGAATAATGGTTCTTGTAAATCGCAATAATAAATGCAATTTTGAAATCCTCAATATCCAAAATGAATAAAAACAGAATTTAGTTTTGAATAATTTGGTCACGAATTTGCAACAAAACGGATTGCGCCCGAATGTCATCCGGAAAAGCTCGCGTGCCAAATTGGAACTTGAACCGAGCCAAACCTTGTCGCGAGATGTGTCTCGGAGCTCCTATCAAATGACTCCAACCGTCGGTCCAAATTGGCTCCGGATTTTTTTACGCGAAGACAATCGAAATCAAAATTCGTCCAAACTTGGCATAGGGTTTTTGTGATGGTGCGAATACCAGAAGCCTTCGGGGCTGAAGTCAGGATCAAGATCCGGTGGGTGCGTCTAGGAGGTGAAGGTGACGATTCTGTCGCTGTTGGCGGTGCCTAGATCTGGAACGAAGTCGCGGACGAAGATGTTATTCTTCAGGACCGCCTTCCCGATGTAAAGTCCGCCTCTCCCGTGGTACAGCTTGAACTCATGAGTGGTGCTGTCTGCTTCGAGATGGATGCCTTTTGCCATCAGCTGGCTGACGCTCAGTAAGTTGTAGCCAAGTCGTTCTGCTATTAAGACCTTCGACATCTGTAGTATGGCGTTCGTCTCCGTGACTGAAGTTGAACAACGCCTTGTCGTCGTGTGCGCAGGTTCTGGTTGTTGGCGATGGTGATGACAACTTCGCGTTGAAGTTGATATTCTCGTTGAACGAAACGACCCGAAGAGCACATATGCTGCCCACAGCAACTGTCTAAGAACCAAGTGTCTTTCCCGGACGGCTCGCTTTGAGCGATGGCTGCATACGTCGGGTTCGGTTGAAGTGACTCGCGGTGAGGAGTACTGTTGTCGAGTAGCTCTTCTGGTGAGTAGTGCGGTGGTGACTCGGTGATGCAGGAGTCAGTCAATCGTGCCATGCAACTGACGATGTTTCTTGTTCCTTGTGCAGATTGTGTTGGCGATGCTGTTGAAGACTGCGGCTGGCTTGTGGGGTGCGCCTGTGTGGACGCTATCTGACTACTTGAAGGGCGAAGTTGACGTTGTGGTGGCGTTGATTGCTGTCGATTTGGGCAGTGTGTGCGAGGGTGCCTTGACGTCTTGCAGAGATGACAGAACGGAGGTACGGGTTTTCGTTGATGCCGGTTGTTGTTGTTGTTGCAGCGCCATAGAGTGTGGAACGCAAATTCGGGTACTGACGTTTTCTTCTTGTGCCGCTCCTCTTGCAGGTCCATGTCTTGCTGCTCAGCGTAAATTTTGGCGCAGAGTGCTGCTTCGGAGATCTTCCCGTGAGCTCGGAGTATGGCGCGAGTGGAGCGCCAGTCAGGTCCAAGACCGCCAATAATAATTGTGACGAAGGCGTCTTCCGATATCGACCCTCCACATCGAAGGAGTTTGTCGCGCAATTCGCGACAGCGACTGATATACGCCATTCCCTTTTTGCCCGGTTTCAGTTCCACTGTTGTCAGTTGTGCCATTAATCGACTCTGATTGACGCTGTCTGTTGCCTGATACAGGTTCTTCAAGTAGTTGTACGCGAGCTCGGCGGAGTTCCCGTATCCCCGGTAAGACCGAATGTTTTGCTGCTGGTTTGGAGTCATGTTCCTCAGTAGACGCCATCATTGACTGATA